TAGTATTCACGAGTTAGACCGTCACCACCTTTGAAACGACCAGCGCCACCGGAACCTTTACGAATCTTAAACTGAATAAGAACGACCGGATACCTGCGTCAGAAAAAGTTAAAAAACCGAATTTATAATCATTGCTGCTACGCTACCTTCGCTCCAAAATCTCTGGATCGGTTATTCGTGTGTTTGTCATGTGCGTCTGTATTCCATCACAACCAGGAAAATTTGGACCCTGCAGGAGAGATTTTACAAATTCAACGTATGTTCACTCGGATATAAGCATTAAAGCGCAGCCGTATACTACAGAAAGTGCTTGTTTCTCTAAAACCACCCTTCAACCGTGGCTAAACTTTAAAACAACAGCAGTCTATCACTAGTGTCATGTTTCGTTGTCAGTTAATTGAAGTGCGATAAATGGGCCCACAGCCATATTTTTCATTCTTAAATATGCTCTCAAAAACATTTTTAACTATTTTAGTCTTTAAAGTTTCTACCCATCATTACCATCCTACTGTTCATTTCTACACTACTGCATGCAAGAAACGTTTCTGTCGCATAGACATCAAGGTATAGTCGTAGGACGGAGAATGTTACATAACGCCGTACCCCTTCACGGGCAGATTTTACGGCATACTGCACCGCCCTCTTGCTCGCGGGGGTTATTTGAGCAGGTCGTGGCCCCGTGGTATTTGTGCACATGCAGTGTCAGACGCATCTAGCATCATTTTACTCGTTAAAGCCACCTCACAATCATTACGAACGATATTTTAAGAACGTATTCCTTAGATGCCACGCAATAGACATTAAAGTATGCTCGTAGCCGGAGTATTTCAACTAACAAGTGGCTCCTCCAGATTTTACGGTGTATTGCACCATCCCTTGCTCCTAGTTGCCCTGAGCGTCATTTAAGCAGGTCTTGGCTCCATGATATTTAAACCCATATAGTGCGAGATGCATCTTTTATCATCATTGTTTGCTAAAGTTATCTCACGTTCATTATGAACGATGTTTCAGGAGCTGGTACTCCTTAGATACTATCGCATAAACATTAGCAAGAAGAGAGGGTGCAATAAGCCGTGAATTCTGGTCTTTGAAGGGTTATGCGTTAGCGATAAATTAAGCAGATTCATGAGATATACATACACGTTGAAACTGCAAATATATTGCAGAAGAAAGAGAAGCAAAGATGAGTCACTGTGACTTTATTGCGAGAGTATAATCACATAATGGCTGCGAGTTGTCTGTATTGTATATATCATCCTGTTTTCTCGGTTCCTTTTCAAGAACCAATTAAAGCTGCACCAACCCCCGCCCCCCGTTAGGCACTATGTGCGGATAACATGCACATCTGTTCTCTTTTGCAGCTGATAGGCCTATCCTAAATTTTGAGTAGACGGCACGCACTTCTCATCCTTCATGCGGAGACCTCCAATCGTTCCACGATGGCGCCATGCATATGACTCTTGCAGAATTTTGGGATTGCTTCAACTGGTTTTAACTGACTTTTCACCACTGCGTAACATTATGACTCAAGG